GAGAAGGGATTTAAAGAGACAAATGCCTTCTCCAAGCTGGCCGGCGGAGGGGGACTATAGGAATGCATTTAAAATTAAAGTTGCTTTCTTTCTCTGCTCCCCCCCCCCATCTAAAGCAAACCCTTTCGCTTCCCCAGCCACCCTCCTGGAAGCCACACAACATGTGTGAAAGAGCTGCAGTTTGGCCACCCCAGACTGTCAGCGGCTCCCCGGGGTCTCAGGCAGTGATCTTTCGCATCACCTCCTACCTGATCCCTTTAACTGGAGATGCTGGGGATTGAACCTGGGACCTTCTGCGTGCCAAGCAGAGGCTCTGCCACTGAGCCACAGCCCCTCCCCTGATGCATGAGGCTGCCTTCTACTGAATCAGATGCTGGGTCCATCAAAGGTCAGTATTGCCTACTCAGACTGGCAGCGGCTCTTTGGGGTCTCAGGCAGAGGTCTTCCCCATCATCTGATACCTGGTCTTTTTAACTAGGGATGCCGGGGACTGAACTTGGGACCTTCTGCGTGCCAAGCAGAGGCTCTGCCACTGAGCCAAGGCCCCTCCCCGATCGCCCTTCCCTTGTGATCTTGGTCTCTATGCCTGCCTTTGACTTGTGGGTCATCCACGACTGGAGGATATACGAACCGATCAGAAACTTTGTTCACACAGAGTTTGTTCGCAGAGACCGGCTGCCAGACAATCTTAGGATCTCCTAGCTATACTACACACGCTGCCATACAATAATTATTATTAATCTTAGAGGCGTGCCTGGGTTTGGGGAACGATGCTGTGAGGACTTCCCTGGAAAATATTCACGCATGAGTTTGCTCCACTGCGGTTCTTTGGACAAAAAAAAAAATTCAGACGGGGATGAGCTCTCAAATGTGAGTCTGGGCCTGGCGGGGCGAGGGGGGGAGTGAAACCCTGAGACGCAGCAACCCTGGAGCAGGCTCTCATCCTGTGCCTGCTTACGGGACTAAGCCCCAGAGCGATTAGCGGGGGCTTTCTTCTAAGTAAGGTGTGTATTGAGATATATGTCAGAGTGATAGAGGTAGCAAGCAGTTACTATAGATCAGTTTGATCTGTTTGTCAGACCTAGCTGTCATGCTAGAAATCATGTAATTGCAGCCAGGTGTTTTCTAGCAGGTGTTACTCTTTCAGGTCTTGTTAGATTTAGTGATTCAATAAATAAAATAAATAAAATAAATGATTACATCACCCTGTTAGAGATTGGCTGGGGTTTAGCATAATAGCTATCAGCTTAGTAAGCTGGTGGGGACTCAGTTCTCATAGACTAAGGCATAACATGCTGTTCAATAGCCGGTAAATATCTCTATATATATTCACCTTTATAATTATATAAACTCTCTGTGCACCTTCATAACTGGTCAGTCTCCCGCTTCTTATTTACAACACCCAATAGTGTGGGGTTGCAGTCTTCACCTCATTGCCCGCATTCATTTTCTAAAAATCCAATTAGATCTTTATGGATGTTTTTAAAATAGTAATAGAACAAGGGGTGGACCCGCGATACTCGCGGGGGGGGGAGGCAGAGGAGGAAGCAGTAGGAGGAGGTAAGTACCCCTCCATCCTGCTGGTTACCCCCGTGTCCTCCACCCCCCCTTCGATCCGAGGCTGGGCGGCATGCAGTTGCCCGGGCCTCGTTGTTCCCCCCCCCTCGATCCGAGGCCGGGCGGCGTGCAGTCGCCCGTGCCTCGTTGACTCCCCCCCTTCGATCTGAGGCCGGGCAGCGTGCAGTCGCCCAGGCCTCGTTGTCCCTCCCCGCTCCGATCCGAGGCCGGGTGGCGTGCAGTCACCCGGGCCTCGTTGTCCTCCCCCCCCTTCAATGCCTTCGTTGATTTCCCCCTCCAGCTGCTCCGATGCGAGGCCGGGCGGCTTGCAGCCACCCTGGCCTCATTGATTCCCCCCGGGCCTCGCTGGGCCTTCCCCACTCCGAAACAGCGGCAGGAGGCCGGCTGCAGAGCGTTCCCTGCGTATGCGCAGGGGACGCTCTGTCAGTTTCGGGGGGATGTTTACATATTTTTGACAGGGTTTCTGATTTTTGTGCACATGTGGGGACCGCCCCACGTGTGCACAAAACTCTCCCTCCCCTCCAGGTCCCCCCGGTGCGCGGATTTA